AAGAAGACTTTGGATGAGATAGATTTACTCAGTGTCTAGGATAATGTGTGTAGGTGTGTCAGAGACAGTAAGGTTGGCTCAGCATAAAGCTGAGTTTAGAGTAATTGTACATAGGGTCACTATAAGTCTTAAGCAACTCAGTGGTACATAACAACAGCTGGAATTTGGTGTTTTTCTCATAATTAGACTATGAACTTTGATAAATGTCAGTGGCTGTAGAGGCCTTTTGTTCATAGGATTGCTATGAGTTGTGCTTGACTTGAAGGCCATCACCAACAATGTGTGGAGAAAGATAATAGAAGATGCCATTCTTAATCAAACCTTTTGGAAGAAATAAACACCTTGTACGGCCCACACTTATTATGTCATCATGGACTCATATACTCATTTTATACTTTAGAGCTGAAGTCCAGTACTTCACTGCTCAAACTGTTCCAGGTTTCAATTGGCTCCTATGTCTCTTTGATAGAACCCATCTCTCTCTGTGTGTGTATATGCATGTGTGCACTTTTTAAATTAAAGGCATAATAGGATGTTCCATACTCGTTTTGTTTATTTCTTGTCCCAGGCCTAGAATCAGCCATTTCTCCAAGTAGCCCTGACTCTTGGAGAATTAGAAATCAAGATCTGAGTGGCAAGTGTTGTTGCTACCACTAGCATATTGTTGCTTCTGTAGGCGCGCTCAGTTGACAGCAAAGAGCTATATAATTTGTGTATGTAAATACCTGTGTTTCTGTATGTAACTATCTGCATCAATGTTAAGCATAACGAATTTATGCTGATGTTGTCAACACTAATCCATTGCTACATGGATAATTTTAGCTTTTCCGCGTAACATTACAGTAACCACCAGTGTCCACTTAGTATCTATATAAAGTGGTTTCAGCATCATTAACCCATACCTATGTCATAAACTGTCAACTACAATGTAGTGAGATACACTCTTAGAAAATTTATTTTGCCTTCAGTCTTATAGATTACACACTCATTTCTAAAGCTTCTATATTAGCACCTCTTTCAGTAAGGTGATTTCATACATTTGTGATACAATGGTATTCTTTTGTAACATTCCACATTTTTTCTTGAGATCCTTGACCTAAATTTATTTTTAGTTTCACCTACATTGAGATCCATTCTTTGTGGTATGCTTAGTATTTTGTATTCACCTTTGTAGTATCACCCAAAATAATTGCAACAAGAACTCATGCAATATTACTCAAAATGGGTGACTCGGGAGGACATTATGCTAAGTAAAATATCTCAGTCACAAAAAGACAAATACTGCATGGTGTCACTGTTGTAAAGCAGGACTGACATCAGAGTTGGGGTAAGACTGAGAAAAATTATGTATACTGCATTGAAACAGATGAGGGAGAGAACAATTTAAAAGCGATATATGATAGGATATTATGGTTATAACAGGAATCCAGAGTTAAGGCTGCATAGTGGAGTATATTCGGGATGGGGGGCAGGGGGATTGTATACCAATGAAGGAGTTTATCTTTTGCTTTTCAAAGAGAGGAGTGAACTGGGGTGGGGATGAGGGGGGTAAGAGAAGAAAGTGCAACAATGAATGAATGGAAATCCAAAATCTCTGTAAATGTTCATTAAAATTAATAAAATTTTTTTTTTAAATTTACCTTTTTAACCTTTCCTTACTTCAAACTACTGAAAAGTCATTGACTTCTTTACTGTCCCTGGAGTTTTATCTTTTTCAGAATGTTATATATTTGGAAATCATAAACTATTTTTCTTTTTCAGACTGACAACTTTCACCCTCCCTCCAGCCTTTAGTAACCAATAATAAACTTTGATTTTTTAACTGTTTGTTTATTGTAGATACTTCGTTTCTGTAAGGTAATTCTGTAGTTATCTTTTTCGTGACTTATTTCTCTCAGTGTACTTTAAGGGTTAATCCATGTAACATATATCAACACTTGATTTCTCTTTCATGTTGTATAATATTCTACCATTTGTTTATCCATTCATTTGTAGAAGGGCATTTTAGTTTGTCTCCACATTTTTACTTTTGTGACAAGTACCATAGTGAACACTGAGGTACAAGTATCTGTCAGTGTTCCTTCTTTCACTTATTTTGAGTATATGCCTGGCAGAATTGCTGACCCCCTGATATTCCTTTATTTCATTTTTGTGGACCCACCAAACTGTAGTCTACCCTAGGTCTACCATTTTACATTTCCATCTATAATGGGTGAGATATCCAGTTTCTGTGCATCTTGTCAACACCTGTTTTCCATTTTATTTTACAGCTGCACTAGTGTAGGTTAAGATGATATTTCATGTGGTTTCGATTTGTATTTCCCAAATTACTAAACACCTTAACCATCTTTTTATGTGCTTGTGACCATTTGTATGTCTTCTTTGATAAAATGTCGATTCAAGTTCTTTGCCAATTGTGTAAAAGGCTGTCTTGTTACATTGTAAGAATTCTTTATATATTCTAGATATTAAATCCTTATTTGTTACATGTTTCCCCAAATTTCCCCCATTCTTTTTTTTAATTAATTTTAATGAACATTTACAGAGAGTTCCGTTCATTTATTGTTGCACTTTTCTCTCTGCCCACTCCTACACCCCAAAGATTCCCCTCATCCTTAAAGTTATTTCTTCACTGTGTAGATAAAAGCTTGGATGCATAAAATATTTTAATTCTTAAAAAATTTATTTTACCTATTTTATCTCATTGCTTGTGTTTTTGGTCCCAGTGCATTGTTCCTGAGAACCATTTATCCTAAGAGTTTTCTAGTTTGACTTCTTTTAACTTCTCAGTTCATTTTGAGTTAATTTTCATATATGGTGTGAGGTATGAGTACAGCTTCATTCTTCTGCATGTGTAGAAACCCATTTGTCTCATTTATTAATGTGTCCTGTCTTTTCCCATTGAAAGGATTTCGCATCCCTGTAGGAAAGAATAACAAAAACATATAATTCTATAGTATACATAGTTTGGGCATGTGGCCAGGAGAGACTGGTCCTTGGAGAAGAATATCATCCTCGGAAGGATGGACCAACAGTGTGGAAGAGAAAGACCCTGGTTGAGATGGTTTAATACAGTATCGGGACAGGTTTGGGGTGTCAGAATTAGTGAGACTGGCTCAGAGCTGCTATACGTAGGATGGCTATACATTGCAGGCAACTTAACAGCACATAGCAAAACCAACACACTATATTGGTTGTTTTTTTAAGCCTCTCGTTTAGAATCAACAAGGCCTCAGAGAGGGCCTTTGTGCTTAAAGTTGGTTGTTATATTTTGGAGGAACATTCTTCTTAGTGGTATAGCACTCTTTGGTTAATATGCTGTAATGAGGTAACCTGCTGTAATGGGGTTGCCATTGGGGTGTCAAATGCCATAACAGTAGCCCACAGGGGACAGTGTTTGGTAGAGGTCCCAGTGTAAGACAGGTTTGGAAGCTGGAGTGGCATCCACTTGCTAAATACATGCCTCCGGATGCTCTAAGAACTTTGATAAATGATAATAGTTATAGAAAGTCTTCATGCCTTTTGTTTATCGGGTCACTATGAGTTGTGCTCAACTCAAAGGCAATCAACAACAACATACTTTTTTATAAAATACTATACACTTGTATGATATAGTTCAACACAATTGAAGTCTGTTTTACTCAAATCTTTCTGAACCTCCCAAATGATAATAGAAATTATAGTTTGCTTGGCTCCACAGTCAACACTCTCGGCACCAGCAGCCAGGAAATTAAAGGGCATATTGCGATGGGAAAGTCTGCTGTTAGGGACCTCTCCAAAGTACTGAAGAGCAGTGGTGTCTCTCTGGAGATTAAGGTGCATCTGATACAGGCCATGGTCTTTGCTATCACTTGTTATGCATCAGAGAATTGGACAATGACTAAGGAGGATAGAAGAATTGATACCTTTGAGCTGTGGTACTGGAGAAAGAGTATTGAGGGTACCATGGACTGCTAGGAAAACAAACAGATTCATGCTGGAAAGCGTTAAACCGTGCCACTCCCTGGAGGCAAGGATTCTGAGGCTCCATCTAACATACTTTGGAAATGTTGTAAGGAGGGACTAGTCCTTGAAGAGGGACATCATGTTTGGTAGGGTGGAGGGACAATGCAGGAAGGGAAGGCCCTCTATGAGGTGGATTGATTCAGTGACTGGGGTAAATGGGATGGGTGTATCGGAGACAGTGCAATTGGCACAGGACAGAGCCGAGTTTAGGGCTATTGTACATAGGGTCGCTATGAGTCGCAATCGACTCTCTGGCACATAATAACAAAAACAACACGTTTCTTCTATTGCTGTGATCTCTCTTCTCATATTCCTTTGAGATACTTTTTCTCTTAAAAGATACACCATAGAAATTCTTTTACATGCATTGTGTAAATATATTCCGTGTTTGTGAAAATTTCTTGTTTTTCACTCTCAACGCTTAAGAGATTTGTTTTTCTTGGTACGTGTTGCACTGTTTTTTCAGTTCTTTGAATATATTGTTCCTTTGTTTTCTGGCTTCCATTGTTTTTCATTTGGTTCCCAGAATCGTTCCTTTGAAGGTGGTTTGGTTTTTTGTGTTCAGTATTTTCACTAAGGCTTTTAATATCCCTTCAAATAGTCATTTTGCACAATTCCATAAGGTTTATATGCAGTATTTTATTTGTGTGTAGTAAATTTTATTTTATATGTACTATATCTTTCATTTTCCTTTATCCTTCTTTGACACATAAAGTATGTCATTTCTGAGAATTTATGTATGCAATAGTTAGGTCTTTTAAGAGTTGTTTTTTTCATGACTTCTGTGTTTATGTAGAGGCAATTTCCCCAAGTAAATTGTAGATCTATCTAAATAGAACTCTTTTTTTTTTTTAAAAAAATAGAACTCTTAAGTTTATTATATTTTCCTTGATTATATTTCTTGGCATATAGTCAGTGTTAAAATATTTGTTTGTTAAAGAATTTAAAGAAATACTGTATTTTTTATTTTCTAGGCATATGAGAGTTAAATTCTGAATAAATGTACAAATAGGATGGACAGTTATTTTAAAGCAGCAGTGAGTGACTTGGACAAACTCCTTGATGATTTTGAACAGAATCCAGGTTTGTTTGTGTGGGTTTTTTTAAAATTTTGGTTTGAGTGAAAGTTTACAAATTATGGTCCTTTTTTAATTTACTATTTAGAATCATTTTGTTTTATAACATTAATTGCAATTAATTAATGCTAATTACAGTGTCTGAACAACTCCTTAGACTGTATTATTTTTTCCTTCTCTTTTTTAATTATATTTTTTCATTCATACACATTTTTTCATGCATCCACATTTTGTTCCATCCAGTCATTCATTGACATTAAATTTTGTTCATTTATATTGTGGAATTTTTTTTTTACCCCCTCCATTACAATCAGTATGTATTGTTATTTTTTTTTTCTTTTCTTACTTAGAAAAAAATTTTTTTTCAAAGTCTGTCATTCCATTTATCACAGATATGGAGTATTCATAACAAATTTTGTTTTCTGTTTTGGCTACATCTGTTAAAAAGTTTAATTTATTTTTGTTGTAGCATAATAGTGTATTACGATGAATGTATCCAGAAATAGAAATAAGGAAACTAAAAGTTTCTCTCTAGATACAAGTTTATATTTAATAAAGATCTTTAAAACCAACATATGAGCAAGCTAAAGCAGCTTGAAAGCTCTATGTAAGTTGGTGTTTCATTATTGTTAAGAGAAAGTATTTTCTTCATGTTAGAATGAGGGATCAGAATGAGGCCTGAACAAGGAAGTGAGATTGGTTTTTTTTTTAAATTTTTTAGTCTGATCTTTATGATACAGCTAAGTTATTGAGTGCAGTTCCACCCACTTCGTGACATCTATTTTCAGACTTAAAAGCCAAGAAGTATTTTTAAAGGCCAAGTAAAAATCTTTTTAGAGGTTATTACTAATTTTCAGAAGGGAGATATACTTACTAGAGTCTAAAGAAAGTTTACTTAATTTAAAAGTCTTAGAAAACTTAACATCTTCAGATATTTATTTTGTTTCAATCTCCTTAATTTTGTTTTTGTCTCTTTTAATCAGATGAACAAGATTATCTCCAGGATGCACAGAATGTGTATGATTCTAATCACGGTTCAGTTTCTTCACAGTTGGCTTCCTCGTTACCTTTATTATTACCAAAAGATCAACAATGTTGTGCCTCATCAGAAATGGGCTATGATAAAAATCAGATTGCCCTGAACAGCAAATCACCTGAGGGACTAACTCCTAATAGACAAAATGAGAAAAATGTAACAGGTCTTGATCTTCTTTCTTCTGTAGATAATGGTAATTCCGATGAAATCAAGCCTTTATATGTAGGGCGATGCAGTAAACCTGTCTGTGATCTCATAAGTGACATGGGTAACCTAGTTCATTCAACTAATAGTGAAGAAGATATTAAAAAACTATTGCCAGACGATTTTAAATCCAATGTAGATTCTTTGATTGGATTGGATTTATCTTTAGTGTCAGATACTTTTTGCATTACATTAACAGATCAAAGTAGTGATACTGTCACAGAGGTGCAGAATGATGCCAACCCTGAATTACAAAATAGAGAACTCTCTGGAACCAAAGAATTGGGTATGAAAATAGACACGCTTTCATATTCATGTAATTATAGTGGAACAGAAAATTTAGAGGATGAAAAAATCTCTAATCATTTAAAATCAGTTGATGTTAGCATGCCATCTGCTTTGACTCAACAAAGTTCCACGACATTTGATGCCAAAGACAACCCACAACACAAGAACCAGCCTTGTGAATTATTAAAAGACGGTGACTCTTCAGCAAAAGAGGAAGTAGATATAGCAACCATACCTGCTACCAAATGTTTAAAAGAAGGTGACACCACAAGACCTGTATGTTGCAGTCTTCCAAAAAATGAAGGGTTGTGTTTAAATGATTCTAATTCAGGAGCCACAAATTTCAGGTTACCTGATTTTCCCTTTCAAGAAGAAAAGACTGCTTTACTTGTAAAACATACTGTAAGGGATAACTCAAGAAATTTAGACATTGAAGACAATAATGATACATCTCAAGATTCCTTTGCAACTTTACTTGTTCCAGGTGAAGATGTACAGTCTTCACTGTCCCCTCTTCCAGTATCTGGGTCTTTGTGTGGATCCTTAATTGAAAATAATGCACATAGTGATTGTTTACCACCTAAAGAACATAAAGCTAACATAGAAGATACAGTATCCATGCATGAAGAAATACAGAAGAATGTTATTCTAGGTGGGGAACCATGTAAGGAGACTGATCTTTCAAAACAAGAAAAATGTAAAAATACATGTCTCGAGCCAGTAATTGAAAAAACAAGAGTTGGAAAAGTAAATCCAGATCAAACCGTAACCACAGTGGAATCATTGAATTATCCTGATAACAGCAGTTCTTCTGCAGGTGCAGAATCTGTGATGGAGGTTTCTGGTGCCAGTGCCCCAGAGTCTCCTGATCATTGTGAAGGCCTTACTTTTTCAGGCAATGATATCAATGGACAAGACTTAGATTACTTTAATATTGATGAAGGCATGAAAAGCAGCTCTCTGATTAGTGATGCTGAACTTGATGCCTTTTTGACCAACCAGTATCTTCAAGCCAATAACATAAAGTCTTTAGAAGAAAATTTAAATGATTCAAAATCTCAAAAGAATCAAACAGATATGAAATGCCTAGATGATGGGAACATCAGTAATATATATGTGAACTCTGAAACGGGAACAACAGGAGAAAGTCCTGAAATTAACCTGATTTGTGGAGCAGTTGATAAACATAATATAGCAGAAAACAATGGCCTTTCTTTAGGGACAAAAAGCACAGTGCCAATTAAAGGGGAATTAGCTAGCAAGTCCGAGATTACAAATGAATTATCAGTCTCTGATACTAACAGACAATCTGTTAATGTTGGAGGGGCCAGACCTAAGCAGTTGCTTAGCCTTCCATCCAACACAAGGAATTCAAAGGAAGCAAGTAAGCTGGATGTTCCAAATACTCCTGAAGATGAACCCAGTGTGGCAAATTCTATCACCCCAACCACTGGTACTGGAGATTCTGCAGCTGATCCTCCTGTTAGCTTTAATTACATTGATATAGAAAGTAATTTTGAAGCTAGATCCAGTTTTGCCACTGCAAATGAAGAATCACTCTCGGAAGTACCTTGCAAAGAAGGCTTAGTTTTGGGACAGAAACAACCTCCTTGGGTTCCTGATTCAGAAGCTCCAAATTGTATGAACTGTCAGGTCAAATTTACTTTTACCAAACGACGACACCACTGCAGAGCATGCGGAAAAGTAAGTTACTGAATCTTTTCAACATTTTTATTTATTTGAAACACTTAATGAAATCTAATGTGATTAAAAAAAAAATTATTGAAATATAATGTGATAAAAACCCGATTTTATTTGCTTAGGAACAGTGATTTTCCACCCACCAGTGGAAAAACATGAAACACTTCATTTTATAGGTTGCTTGATGATTGAATAAATATCACACTGTCATAGATATTACATGTTGGGAAGTGAAGAAATTTTACTTAATTGCAAATTTTTGTATAATCTAAAAGTGTGTGTCTATAACTTTTAAGGTGCTATTAAGGAACTGTACTGCTAATCCAAAGGCAGGTTGTTCGAATCCACCAGCTGATCTAGGGAGAAAGAAAAGCAGTCTCCTCCCATGTGATTAATTATTGCCTCTGAAAATCCACTGGACGGTCAGCTGTTAGTTCCCACTGGACAGCACGTAATGAGAGCAATGTAACTCTCTAACATTGGCATATGAGATGTCTCAAACTAAGACCCTTTTGTTCTCTATTAGATATTTTGAAGGCCATGCTTGGCAACTCTTGTTGCTGTCCATGCTCAGAGAAACACAGAAAAGCAAACAGCCCGTGGAGGAATGCCAACACTGGCCACATTTGTGCCCTGACTGAGCGAATCATCTCTAAACTCTAGAAATAGCATTGTGTTTTTCAGTCAGCATTTCCTAGCAATATGTTTGTTTCAGATTGACCCTGCTTTATTTCAAAAGCAATAGCCACCTATTTTTTTAAGTTTTAAATACAGAACTATAGGACATTTTTAAAACAGAACGTGAAAGTTTTTGTTCTCCTTTCTAATCAACGTGATTTAGCTCCGTATCAGAATACAGTTTTTGGTTGGGTTTGGTTTGTGTGTTGTTTTTTTTCTCGGTTCCCCTCACCAAAAAAAGAAATATATTCTCTTACAGTTTAGGAGGCTAGAAGTCTGAATTCAGTGTGCTGGCTCTGGGAGAAGGCTTTTCCTCTTTGTGACTGTGAACGTAGGGCCTTGTGTCCTTTCAACATCTGTGAGGCTGGCTTCCTTGAACATCTCCGTGTGTCTGGGCATCAGTCTTCCCTGAGGTCTGAGAAGTTCTCAGTTCATCAAGCCTGGGTGCAAATGATGTGGTCTGCTCCTGGCTCTTCCTTCAGAATATAGTTTTAAATTGCAGAAACCTTGTTTAAATAAGTGAATAACTACTCAAAGTTATGCAATTAGAGAAGTAATTTAAATAATAAGGTAAGTGGATTTTAGTTTATTAGGCTTTGAGTTCTCTCTCCTGCCCTGTCTCCAGTAGGTATGTTGTTATATGCTGTTAAGGCCAAACCAAATCACGTGGGAGGAGATTGCATATCGTCCTCCCACAGATCAGTTAGTGGATTCAAACTGCATGCGTTTGGGATTGCACTGCAGCTTCTTACAACTAAGCCACCAGATTTCCGGCAGTAGGTTTAAGTATACATCTAAATCAAAAATAAATTTGATTTTGATGATGTTGGTTTTTTTGTTTTTTTTTAATATAGGTATTTTGTGGTGTCTGTTGTAACAGAAAGTGTAAACTACAATACCTGGAAAAAGAAGCAAGAGTGTGTGTAGGCTGCTATGAGACTATTAGTAAAGGTGAGTGTAAACTTGACAAGTTTCTTCCAGCAATTTAATTTCTCTTTAAATTGTGACAAAGATAAACTTCTTTATTTTCTTAAGACAGGGACCTAGTGTTGACTTATCTGGCTTAGGTGGGACATCTCAAGCCTTGGTTTCTCTTTTTGTTTCACTCACAATTAATACTACCAGTCTGGAAAGGATGCATTCAGTTTCTGGAGAGACAGTTCATTAACTTTTAACAGGTACCAAGTCCCTCAGTGCTGCATCTCATCTGCCTATTTGTTTTTGCCATCATCACTGTCCTCTTCATCCTCTTCCTCCAAACTTTTCTAGAATACCTACCAGTAAACAGTATTCATTACTCTCTATTAGTAGAATAAGGCAAGATCAGTTCCTTACCCTTTAGAAATAACAATCAAAAATGAGACTGAAAATTGGGTAAAATATTTATGATTTTATTATAAGCTCAGGACTGCCATATGATGTGCACACTTTAATCTATATTTTTTTCCTCTGTAGCTTTAAAATTTTATGTGAGTGTCTCCATTGTTTCGCTGGCTCCCCTGGCTTGCTACCATGATCAGCATTTATATTGGTGCTCTAACTTGAGTTCTCACAGTTTTATGTTGTGTGTTCATTTTTTTTATTCTCCCCTGAATACATGTTTGGGTTTTTTTTAATTACTTCTTGGTATTTTCTAAGATTTGTTGACAGTTTTACTCTCAACAAATATTACTTGGGACATCGTAAGACCAGATCTGTGTGCTAACTCAGCTACTCTTTCCTATTAGCCAGGAGAATAAAGACCTGGTAATAATCTGTTTTTCTCTTTTGAATGAAGATAATTTTTTTAGCAATTCTCAAAAAAACTCTGATGTGAGTATGTTTGCCTGAGGTAAGCTGCATTACTCCTGCTGTTGACCTCTGCTTTGAAAGATAACAGAATATTAAACTTACTGTTTCCATATTAGCATTATTGTTTATGGTGAAATTAGGTTAAGTCCTTATAGTTCTCTTTTTCTTACATTATTTCAGTAGCTGAAAACATAGCTCCTGGTGCTGTTAAACAAGACAGCCTGTTAGAATTTAAAAATGTTAGAAACAAACACCTACATGATTATCTTTCCCACAACTACCACCAACAGGAGCTTTATTTCAGTTCACAGTTTGAACTTTGAGGTGACTGTTGATGCATATTCTATCAGGGCTGAGAAGGAGAGAAGATGGTCAATAAAGAGACTCTGTAGGATATTGATCTTGAGCTTTGATTAATCAGAGAGCATGTTTTAAAACAAATGTATTTACATAACTGTTTTGTATATTCTGTTTTGAAATAACATGGTTTCATTGATAATACTATTATTAATTTATATGTTGTTGTTGTTGTATATGTGCCGTCGAGTCGCCTGCGACTCATAGCGACCCTATGTACAACAGCCCTAAACTCTGCTCTGTCCTGTGCCAATCGCACTGTCTCTGACGCTCCCATCCCAATTATCCCAGTCACTGAATCAATCCACCTCATAGAGGGCCTTCCTCTCCTGCGCCGTCCCTCCACCCTCCCAAGCATGATGTCCCTCTCTAAGGACCGGTCTCTCCTCACAACATGTCCAAAGTAAGTTAGACGGAGCCTCAGAATCCTTGCCTCCAAGGAGCCACCTGGTTTAACCCTCTCCAGGACAAATCTGTTTGTTTTCCTAGCAGTCCATGGTATTCTCAATACTCTTCTCCAGCACCACAGCTCAAAGGCATCAATTCTCCTTCTATCCTCCTTGGTCATTGTCCAACTCTCTGATGCATAACAGGTGATTGCGAAGACCATGGCCTGTATAAGATGCACCTTAGTCTCCAGAGAGACACCACTGTTCTTCAGCACTTTGGAGAGGTCCCTAACAGCAGACGTTCCCATGGCAATGCCCCTTTTCATTTCCTGGCTGCTGGTGCCAAGACTGTTGACTGTGGAGCCAAGCAAATACCACTAGGAAATGCAAATGGTATTTTAACTTCAACTTTAAGGTTTAAAATTGTGATATTGTTGTTAGCTGCCATCGAGAATGACTCATAGCAACCCTATGAACAAAAGATTTAAACTCTGTTCTATCCTATGTCAGCCTCACACTTCTTGACACAAAAGAGCTCATTGCAGCAGTCATGGTGTCAGTCCACCTGATTGAGAGTCTTCCTCCTTTTTGCCGACCTTCCACCCTTCCCAGCATCATGTCCTTCTCTAAGGAAAAGCCCCTCCTAGCAACATGCCCAAAGTATGTGAGGCAACACCTCATCATTCTTGCCTCCAAAGAGCACTCTAGCTCTTTGACTTGTTTCACTTAACAGATACAAGTCAAGTTCCAGTTGACTTAATATTGTAAAGGAAGTATTTTCCAAAATAAGAAGAATGATGGCTCAAGGTTTATGAGGCATCTTCCACAAAAGCTTGACAGAGATAGTTTTAGAGATTGCGGATAATGAGGAAATTTTGCTGAACCTAAATTTCAAAGTAGCATGCATGAGTGACTTTTGGTTAGATTTGGGGTAAATTGGAAGTTAGCTTTCAATCCAAGATGTTTGGATTTCCTCTGGTTAATGGACACCATTTCATGAGAATGCTGTTACTCGGTGGCACTTGAGGGAAAAGACTTTTAATGGCGGCAGCCTTTGTAGATCAGTTTGGAAGAGGGTTGAAGCTAAGTTTTATTTCATGTTACTTGAATGAAAACTTATTCAACAATATTGAGGCACTATTCTGAAATTCTCACTGAAAACAAAATAGACTCCTGCAAAGTAAATGTCTGATGGTGATAATACCCTAATAAAAAATGAAACCAAGTAAGAGAGAGACAGTAACAGATTCATGACAGGAAGATAGTGTTTTTTTATGAAGTGTTTAAGATAAGGATTTATGTTAATGTCAAGTGTGTGAATAGTCAAATGAGACGAAAATTATGTGAATGAGTATAAGAAGAACATTCCAGGCAGAGAGAACAAGAACAGAGGTTGAGGATCAGGGCTGAACAGAAGAACAGAAGGGCCTAAGATAGGTGAGTTCTTACCTTGTTGAAGAACAAGGAGACATAGGTGGCCTGATCCTAAGTGATATCGTAGTTAGAGATGAGCTTGGATAGGTAACTCAAAAGATGGCAGGAGTGGAAAATCCAGATTACCTAAACTCTGTGGCCCTGTGGCTAAAGAGCTTGAGTTCTAACTAAAAGATTTGAACTAAAACTTGAAAACCACCAACCTCTTTATGAGAGAAAGACGTGGCAGGCTGCTACTATCGAGATTCCAGCCTTGGAAATGCCATGGGGCAGTTCTCTGTATGTAGTCACTCTGAGTTCAAGCAATAGACTAGAAGAGCATGGATTTGGGGGACACTGTACACAGTTGTTTCATTCTAGTTGGAAAGTCACTAAAGAATTTTAAACAGGTAGGATGACTTGACGTATGTCTTAATAACTGAACTATGTTGACTTAGTCCTTTTAGGGATCCAAGGATAAAAACAGGGTCAAATAAAGATTATGTTCTTTAGCAGATACCAAGCACATGTGAAATAAAATATTAAAATAACAAATTGGCACACCTGACCCAATGGGTTCAATCATAGCAATGATTGTGGGGATGGCACGAGACCAAGGCAGTGTTTTAATTGTGTTATAGACATCGGGCCGCTGTGGGTTGGAACCGACTTGGTAGCATCTATAACAGTATGATTGAAGTGAAGTGTTGAAAACTGAAGCTCAGAGCCTGTGTAGTTAATCAGACATTATCTTTGTCAAATGCCACTTCTTTTCTTTCTTAGCCATTTATTTCTTTCCCTTTACGATGTAGGACACAGAAAGTTTATTTTAACTTTAAGGACATCTGAGATTTCAAGACTTTCTTTTTAAAATTTCTTTATAGCACAAGCATTTGAAAGAATGATGAGTCCAACTGGTTCTAATCTTAAAGCTAATCATTCTGATGAGTCTGCCACCATCCAGCCTCACCAGGAGCCCCAAACGTCCAGTAATACATCACCTACAGCTGTACCAACCTCAGCACTAAAACAGCCCTGTGTTGAAGGTAATCAACAGAATAATGCTGTGTCTTAAAGATGAATTCTTAAAAATAAGTTGGAGTTTTCTGTTTGAACTATCATTTCTGCATTAAGTGACAGTTTTACCACCTGTTTAAAAAATAAGTTGTGTAGTTACGGTCTGTTAGGAAATAGAAGGGATTTAGTACAGGATCTTGGTTACAAAGCATGTTATAAGACTGGGAAAACAGGAAATGAATGCTGAGGTAACTGTAGTAAGCAGGTACCACTCTGAGGGTTTAGGGGACAAAAAGAGAGAGGCAGTTACTATACAGCCTGGTGTAAGGGTACCACAAGATGTTTGGTTTAAACAAAGCAAGTGTACATTTTTAATCTGTTTATTGCATACTAGAAACTAAATGTCAGTTAATGGTAAAGCAGGTTGTTTTGATAGTGTTTTGTAGTTCATTTTGTCTTCTCAATACTTTACATTTATTGTAACTGAAATAAGGAGATTAATTGTATACGGTCATATATTGTGAATATAAATAAGTTTTCTTTTAAGAGTATTTGCATATTGTCTTATATGTACTATTAATTTTTTAAGTAGTAAAAGTAAACTCGTAAAACAAAACAAAAAATATAATGGCCAAGATTCTGAAGCTTCATCTGACATACTTTGGACATGTTGTAAGGAGGGACCGGTCCTTGGAGAGGGACTTCATGCTTGGGAGGGTGGAGGGACAGCGCAGAAGAGGAAGACCCTTGATTAGATGGGTTGATTCAGTCACTGGAGCGATGGGAGTAGGTGTGTCAGAGACAGTAAGGTTGCCACAGGAAAGAGCAGGGTTTAGGTCTCTTGTGCATAGGGTTGCTATGAGCCACAAGGGATTTGTTGACACATACCAACAACATTCTAAAAAAATAACAGTAAACTTATGGCCACTCATAATACAGAAAGATGGATACGATTTGAATACTTTCATTGTTATCTGTATTATATTCTAGAAGGGAGGTCATGATTTTTAGAACATTTCTCTACAGATAACAAGGGAGAACAAACATTTTTTGTTTGTTTGTTTCTTGTGGTAGTATTTGGTAATTTTTTTACATGTTTTTTTTTCTATAATTATATTTTATTAATTTTCATAAACATTTACAGAGATTTTGGGCTTCCACTCATTGATTGTTGCACTATTCTCTCTACCCTCCTCCCAGTTTGTTCTTGTCCAAATGCCACAGTGCTTGTCAAAGCCAGTTCTGATTAATCTTCTTTGTCAGTGTATCCTTTGCCATTCCCTATCACTCCTCCCTGAAAGAGACTTCACCCTGAGTCATAAGGAAAAGGGAACGGAATATTCTCTTAGCTACTTCCTGCTGAAAAGGGACGCTGTGGGTTTCAGGGTGAAGATCTTCTCTCACTACTCTAAAGGGCCCCTTTGGCAGTAGGAAACACATAGACTATTATGGAGATTGATTTTGGAATTCAGATGCACTCTTATTGATTGTGCTTGGCTGTACATGTACATATCCTTCAAGATGTATCATGGGGGTGTTGCAACCTAGAAGACACAAATTTGACTAACAAGTTATAAGTACATGAGTCCAAAAATTATGGAAAAGTAAAAGAAAAGATTCTTTCATTGTTTTACAAACCCTCCCCCAGGTCCCCTCCACCATGCAGCCCTCGCTCTAGTCTCCTGTGATGACAGAAGGGAGAACAAACATTTGTGCTAATATGTAATTGTGTCACCAAATCTAGGCTTACCAAATTTTTTAAATGTTAATAAAGTTCAGTGTCTACATCATGAGAATAAAAAGTAAATTCTACTTCTGTTATTAATAAATGATTTCTGATACAGAAGATATCCTGTTTTATTTTTTTAGATACTTTTAATGTTTCTTTTTATCCTTCATATGTTTTACTTTGCTTCTCTCCATTCTTCAGTCTTATACTCTTTTTTGCCCCTATACCTTTGTTACTAAATTGAATTCATTCTTCATGCTAGTCACAAATCTAGCTTAAATAATTAGGCTTTAACTCTTCCCTGGTGTCTTTAAAGTATAGCTTCTTTTGTCCACTTTGGGGTTTTTTGTTTTGTTTTGTTTGTTTGTTTGTTTTTTATTTCTTTTAGGTATCTCATTGCCAGGGCCATCTTTGGTTTAATGTGTTGCCTTTGTGTGAATTAGGAACAAACTTTCCCAAAACATAGATGGATGACAACTCTAGGAGTTGAGGCTCACCTGTACAAAGAGCAGCCTTGTACGGGGTGGAAGCATGTAGAAGTTCATCATCCAAGCTGTAGTCATCACCATTTGTAGTAGATAGGACAGTTCAGTTACAGCAGCCTGTCAGTACTCTGCTCATCATATCTGTATGAATAGCATATGCTAAATAAATCTGTAAAACTGGACCAGATGGTCTCAAAAGCATGAACATTTTTAAAAACACTTTTAAAAACATTTTCTAAACCATTTAATATTAAATCATTGCAATAGTGCAAAATTAAAATGCTTTACTTCTTCAATGGATTTAGGACTGTGTCCCAAAGAACAGAAGCGAGTATGGTTTGCAGATGGTATATTGCCCAATGGTGAAGTTGCAGATACAACAAAATTACCTTCTGGAAGTAAAAGATGTCCTGAAGATTTAAGTCCTCTCTTACCTGATATGCCCTTGGTAAGATATCTGAAGAATGTCTTCTTAATTAATACACTGCATTTGTGTGATCATTTAATTTTAGAGTATTTGTTTCTCTTTTAATGTTTTGAGCTTTGTGTTTTGAGTTTCACAAAATGAGAACTGAATTGATGTGAATTTATTTTAGATTTTATGCTGTTCAATGTCAAGACAGTGAATGATTGTCAGATATTTTGGTCTCATGACTCCTTTATACTTTTCAAATTTATTGAAAACACTGAAGTATAGATTTTGTGGATTGTATTAATTTAATAATTACTGTATTCAACTTAAAATTAAGAAACATTTAAAAATGTTAATCCTTGAACTCATGTTATTAGAAATGTCAATTCTATGAAAAATACTATTCTTCAAAATAATAGACTTTAGTAAGAGAATGGTACTGTTTTACATTTTTGTTTCTTTAGTGCCTTGCTTAATAGAAGACATATGTATTCTCACATTTTTTCTTACATTTAGTTTCTAATATGTTGTTGTTATGTGCCGTTGAGTTGCCTGCAATTCATAGCGACCCTATGTACAACATCCCTAAGCTCTGCTCTATCATGTGCCGATCTTACTGTCTTGACACACCTACTCCCATTACCCTAGTCACTGAATCAGTCCATCTCGTCCAGGGTCTTTCTGTCCTGTGCTGTCCCTCCACCCTCCTATGTATGATGTCCCTCTCCAAGGACTGGTCCTGCCTTACATGTCCAAAGTATATCACATGAAGCTGTAGAATCTTTGCCTCCAAGGAGCAGCCTGGTCTCACCCTCTCTAGAAAGAACTTGTTTGTTCTCCTAGTAGTTCATGGTATATTCAGCACTCTTCTCCAGCACCACAGCTCAAAGACATCAATTCTCCTTCTGTCATTCCTAGTCATTGTCCAGCTTTCTGATGAATAGCAAGTAATTGCTAAGACCATAGCTTATGTCAGGTGCACCTTAGTCTCCACAGTGATATTATTGTCTCCAGACTGACATTATTGCTCTTCAGTACTTTGGACAGGTCTCTGACAACAGACTTTCCCAGTGCAATTCATCTTTTTATTTCCTGTTTGCTGGTATGAAGAGTTTTAATTGTAGAGCCAACCAAACTAAAGCTGTTAACAATCTCAATCTCATCACCATCTGTCATGATGGTTCCAATTGGCCCAGTGGTGAAAATCATAGTGTTTTCCTCATAGTTTTATTTAAATTATAGAAAGAAAACTAATTACTGCAATTGAATCATTGTAGTAGTACCAGAAATGTTTTACTTTTTAACTGATCCTAGGACGATGTTCCAAAGAACAGAAGAGAATGCTCAACAACTCTTTCAAAGTATCTCAGAAATCCCCATACCATTTTTAAATTATTATTATTTTGTGTGTGTGTGTGTGTGCTGTCAAATTGGATCTGACTAGTACGGGAGGAGATTGCCCCTCCTTCTCCAACAGAGCATCTGGTGGATTTGAACCGTGTTCCTCTAGGATTGCAGTGCAGCTGCTTGCCACTAGGCCACCAGAGCTCCCTCCCATACCATATTTTAAGAACTCATGCAAAGGGAGCTCTGATGGCCTAGTGGCAAGAAGCTGCACTGCAATCCCAGAGGGGTGCGGTTCGAATCCATCAGATCCTCTGCTGGAGAAGGAGGGACAGTCTCCTCCTGTACCAGTCAGATCCAATTTAACAGTACATACATAAAAAATAATAACAAAACAAAACCAAGAACTCCTGCAATGATGAGTGAAGTATAGTCTGACCTGGTATTGCCATACTTTAGTGTTGGCTTTGACCAGGGTATGATACCTTAATCTTCTCTCTGAGCTGAAAAGTAGTGGGGGAGGGGGAGGACCACTCATATGGAGAAATAAATCTGGGGTTTGGTTATTTAATTTAGTATTTATTTAGCAGTTTTCATACATTCAGAGTATATGTCTGTTGGTGATGTTTTATCTTTGTATTTATACAGATGTGCTAGATAACAGTTTGATACCAAATACAGACTCATAACTCACTAAGAACTCTTATTTTAAATAACCAAAATACTCATTGGAGCAAGTTCCATATATGAAGTAGAAATCTTTTCATACATTAAACAGAAGAGTTCTAGTGATGTAGTCTATAGGGAGTTGCCCTGTTGACCCAGAGGTGGCGCCTCCTGTCTGTTTAAATGCACCATCAGCCTCACAGAGGCTCTGTGAGTTAGCCTCTCTGTGATTTACAGCCTTGAAACCCACTGGAGGATCAGCTCTTAGTCATTTCCAGCTTGACAGCTATGACTGACTGACCAACTACTTCTGAAGTTAAAGAATCAAAAGAGTACTATTTCATAGGACATTTGACATCAAAAGAATTTCTGAGCCCATTTTAGTTTTTGCTTAGTCTTAAAAAAATAACGTGTGGCCATATAGATCAAGATTCCATAATTGAACAGAATGTGAGAACTGAATTTTTTTCCATTTTGTATTTTGTAGATGGCAAACACAGTGGAGTGTTCCTGTCCTGCAGTTGAAAAATCAAATGAGAGTGGAGATACTACCAGAAATGAGATTATTCAAAGTCCTGTTTCTCAAGATCTGTCTGTGGAGAAATTGCCTACCAGCACAGGAACTGAGGGGTTACATACCTCTGGTTCTTTTGAGGATACTATTTTTCCAGAAACTGAGCAACCATCTAGTTCTAGTGATGTGGTCTTAGTGAACAATAACTTACCTGTTGCTAGCATTTCAGATTTGAAATTCTTGTGTATTATAGACAAATATATTTCTAATAAGATTAGTCTTCTACCTACTGATGAGTCCAGCTTGCCTCCACTTCTGGTGACGTCTGGAGAGGCGGGATCAGGTAGGATAGCAATTGTTTCAGTGTTAAAGGTAAAAATACATAATTTTAAAGAATGTTCTCATGAATTTTGTTGGTTTTGTATGAATTGTATTTTTTTTAAAAAAAATCTAAAACCTTAGTTTTAGTCTTTGTACTATGGATGGTAACCTATTTACATTTTATCTAAATGATTCTTAAAAATTTGCCTTTTGAATTAAATTGCATTTTCAGTTAGCACACCTGAGCCTCTAAATCCAGTATGACAGAAAAACTCATGGACTTGGAACTCTGAAAAATATTTCTGTTGTATTGGAATTTTGCCATGTCATTTTTTTAAACAAACATGATACCTGAAAGAAAAGAGTATTGAGCCAAGAATTTCAGTTACTTGTTCAGCTACTTATTACTTGTGTGACTTGGAGAGTGTTGTTTGATATAGTTGGCCCCCAGTTTCTTCAGTAAGACAAGAGAGCTTATATGATTTCCATGTTCTTTGTAATCTTGTGATTCTAAATAAAGGTCCATCTCAGGATGATTCCCTGGGATAGGTTCTTGTCATCCTGGGTGTTAAGCTGCATCTACAATGTGAAATGGTTCAGTTCTTTGCCTGATCATTTACATAGAGCAAAATGAGGCTTAGGGTCTCTTTTCCCTTTGGGAGTCATTTCATGAACCTACAAGCATTTATTGTTGCTATTGTTAAGTACCATCAAGTTGGTGCCAACTCATAGCTGGCCCAACTCATACTGAGCCTTCAGAGGATTTTGAGAGGCAGTAAATGGTAAGGGAAGAGATTACTCATTTTTCTCCTGCAGAGCAGCTATTGGACAAGGGGAAAAAAAAACTATGTTTGTGCAGGATTGAACTCATGATCCAGGAAATTTGCAAAGAGAGATGGCTGAATCTTTGCATGAATATAAATTAAATGATACTGTTTTAGAAAAGATTAAAGCTAAAGGAAGCAGGAGTGGCATCCACTTCCTAAACAACATGTCTGTGGAAACCCTGTGAACTTTGATAAATGATGATAGTTCTAGAAAGGCTTCAAACATTTTGTTCATAGGGTTGCTATGAGTCGTGCCCAGCTCTAGAGCAATCAACAATGACCACCACCTTTGGGCTGGCAGCATAGCTCTTTACCACTAAGCCACTAGAGCTCCCTAGCTATAGTAGCAAAAATATCTTTAAGCTCAGTTCTTTGCATTCATGCATGTTTTCCTGTTGTTGTCAAGGTGCATTTTTGTTACTGCCACTGCCAATTGATCATATTAGAGCAAGCAACATAGATATCTTATGGCTCTGGACTACTTTCACAAAGTATAAATGTCATATACATAATCAGAGTAACTGGTAAATCTACTTTACAAAACTTCAGTTTTAAAACTTCGAGGGTGATTTGGTCAATATGATTTGACCTAATCAAATGAACAAAATTTGTGTGAGTTATGTAGGAGCATTGATGGTATAGTGCTTAAAGTGCTTGACTGGTAAGTGAGTGATTACCCTTTTAAATGCACCAGCTCCCTCCTGGAAGAGGAATATGGCGATCTGCTTCCATGTTTTACAGCCTTGGAAATCCTATGGGGCAGTTCCATTGTCCTGTAGAGTTGCTATGAGTCACAGTCAGCTTAATGGCAGTGGGTTGGGTTTATTTGTTTTGTGTGTTGTAATACTAACACATTTACAAAGGTAGAAAAGTGAAATAATATGGGAAGCCAGTACTAAATATTTGTAATAAACTGAATGCTATTTAAATAAAAAAAGAAAAGTGAAATAAGTATAAGACAATTTTCCCGAGGTTTGATTTGATGAAATTTGTTTGCTTTTATTTTTAAACTTGATCAGGCATTAGTGGATTTATAAATTTATTTTTTCATTGTAAGCATTATTTCATGTTTTCATTATAAATGATTTATCATATTATTTTCATCCTTTAGTGCCTGTAGTAGAAGAACATCCATCTCAGGAGCAGATAGTTTTACTTCTTCAAGGAGAAGGGTTTCATCCTGTTACATTTGTCCTAAATGCTAATCTACTTGTGAATGTCAAGTTAGTATTCTGTAAGTAATAATTTCTTTCTTAATTAGCAATTGAGATTTCTGAATTAATTACATTTGCAAATTAGATTTTGAGAGATACAGAATAAACAGCTTCAGATACTGATTTTTCAAAGGGATATAACTATAAAGAAATACAGCAAATATATTTTTCGTTGTGACTGGAAATAGTAGCTTTCAGCTTTTACTGCCTTCTCTCAGTCAATCCTCGGCTAAGGTCATGCATCGATTTATAGTTGAGTTTCATTTTGATGATGATTAAAAAATTGACTTTTATAGTGTCTCAATAAATTAATATTTGATTTTGACTAAATAGGAATCTTGATTTAACAGCATTAAAAGATAGCTTTATAGTAAGTGAAGTACGACTTAACTAAAAGCAAGGAAGTAACTCTCAGTAATGAATTTTAGCCTCTGATAGAAGTTTTTCTTTCACTTTGACACTACCTAAATCATGCCCACATTTTGGCATATTTATTACTACATCTTTTATTTTAAGTTATATATTCATTGAATCTTTAAGACAATCCTTTATGTTTTCTCTTTTTTACACTTATCTGACACAATTCATCTCATTTTCAGGGGAATTCTGGAAAAAATAAGGAATTTGAAAAGTTATGCTTCATGCAAAGCACAGTTATTTTTAGGGGGGTTTTTTTTTGGTGTGGGATTAATATAAGTTGACATTTATAGTTGTATGCTTTTATCGCTTAAGATTCCTCAGACAAATATTGGTACTTCTCAACCAATGGATTGCATGGCTTGGGACAGGCAGAAATTATTATTCTATTGTTATGTTTGCCAAATGAAGATACTATTCCTAAGGACATCTTCAAACTATTTATCACCATATATAAGGATGCTCTAAAAGGTATAGCATTTTATTTTGAACTGTTCAGACTAGGAATTAGATAAATTAGTAAAGGCATTTTTTCCTTGATTATGCTAATTGTACTAGAGATTTGTTTTATACAAGATTTCTAATTTCTCAAAGGATCTTAGTTATCATTTTCAGTTTTGTTAAATATACTTTATGTAATTAATGCTTTTATATCGACTTTATTTTAAAATGAAAATATAGGTTGTTGGGGTGTGTGTGTGTGTTCGTGTGTGTGTTCTCAGTCTCCCTCTAACTAGCTGCATAAAATTAAAGACATGGTAAAATTTTTTGGCTGAGCAAGCAGTAAGATGAAAAATTTTAAAATATCTCTGGCTAAAAATCTCTGCTTTTACTCACTATCCCCAGTTTCTAGGAATAACTGATCTTCACACTCTTGAGGTATTCAATAGATAATTCTTCAAGAGTGGAAAACAAATTTCTGCTTTGATCTTACTTATGGAAATTATATTGAGATATTCAAACTGAAACTGCCTATTTAGAAGAATAACTTAAAATATTTTAATTAATTGTTTTATCTCTAGGAAAATACATAGAGAACTTGGACAACATTACCTTTACTGAGAGTTTTCTCAATAACAAAGATCATGGAGGATTCCTGTTTATTACACCAACTTTTCAGAAACTTGATGATCTCCCATTACCAAGTAATCCTTTTCTATGTGGAATTCTCATCCAGAAGCTAGAAATTCCTTGGGCAAAGGTTTTTCCTATGCGTTTAATGTTGAGATTGGGTGCAGAATATAAAGGTAAGTTTTAGAATGACATTATATAAGTTCAAATACATTAGCTAAAATCAGAATTTTAGGTAGTTCTTTAAGATCATTGTTTTAATTTGTTATTGTGTACTTTCAAAATGCCAAACCAAACCTCTTCTATTAATTAACCTAGATAATCTTGGTATGTCATTAAACTATCATTATATTAATTTACCTTATTTTTTTAGGTTTTGAAATAAAACATTTGAAATTTTTCTCAAAGTTTCTTAAAAATATTATTATTAGGGCACCATCAAGTGGCAAGGACTCATAGTGACCTTAAGGAAAAATTCAGAACCTTACTGTTTTCTGTGACATCCTAACAATCTCTGCCATGCTCAAGCCTACTGTTAGAGTCACTGTGTCAGTTCATCTTGTCGAGAGTCTTCCTATTTTTGTCTGATGTTCTACCTTTCCCAGCATGATGTCTTTTTCCAGGAAAAGACAAAGTGATGTCTGGCCCCACCTGACAACATGTCTAAAAAATGTGAGACAGGGTTTCATAATCCTTGCCTCTAAGGAGCAACCTGGTAGTACTTTGTCCAAGACAGACTTGTTTGTCCTTTTGGCAGCCTGTTTTCCTGTACCATAATTCAAAGTTATAAGCTACTCTGTATTCCTTATTCATTGACCCACTTTCAGATGCATAGGAATCAATTAAAAATATCATGATTTGGATCAGGCACCCTTCACTTAGTCTATAAACTGATTATCTTTGCTCTTTAGCACTTTGGAGGGGTCCTTGACAGCAGAGTTTCCCAGTGCAAGATTTCTTTTGATTTTATGATTACTGTTACTATGGGTATTGATAGTTGATCCAAATAGAATGGAATCTTCATTCTTTTCCCCATTTATCATGATATTGTCTGTTGGTCCATTTGTGAAGATTTTTGTTTTCTTTATGTTGAGATGTAACCTATATTGAAGGTTGTAGTCTTTGATCTTCCAGTAATTGCTTCAAGTCTTCTTCACTTTAAACAAGCAAGTTTGTGCCATCTACAAAACGGTACAGGAAGAAGACTGTGCTTCCTCCAAGCCTGATGCTACATTTTTCCTTCATATAGTCTAACTCCTAGGATTATTTGCTTAGGGTATAGATCTTACAGGTATGGAGAAAGAACCCTGAAACTCATTTTTCCTGATTTTAAACAGTGTGTTGCTGCTACCTTGTTCTGTCCAGACAGCTGCTTTTTGGTCTGTCTTTAGGTTTATATGTACATGATTAAATGTTCTAAGATTCTCATTCTTCTCAGTGTTACCCATAATTTTATAATCATGTAGTCAAATGCCTTTGCACACTCAATAAAGAGCAAGTAAACATTTCTTTCAGTATTCTTAGCTTTCAGCCAAAATCCATCTGAATATGTTGACGTTGTTGTTGTTGTTGTGTACCATCAAGACAGAACCAACCTATAATTGACCTCCCTGTGGGTTTTCAAAGACAGTTAATCATGTGGGAGAAGATTGCCTATCCTTCTTCTGTGGAGCAGATTTTGGATTTTAACCTCATGCCTTTTGGGTTGCAGAGCAGCTTCTTACCACTAGGCCTTTACAGCTCTGAATATAGGGCCTTCATATTTTATGTTACTTACATATTGGCAACTTTACATGTGGATTTCACTTGATGAGCTACATAGATATCAGATTGACTGCATTTGTGGACGAAATTGTTGGAGAAACTCAATATTGGCAGTCAGAACTAGGCCAGAGGCAGACTGTGAGTCAGATCATCAATTACTCATATGCAAGTTCAAATTGAGGCTGAAGAAAATTAAAATAAGTCACAGGAACCAAGATAGGGTCTTGAATCAATTCCATCTAAATTACATGACCATCTTAAGAATAGGTTTGAGGCATTGAACACCAATGATCAAAAACCAGATCAGTTGTGGGATGATATCACCCAAAAAGAAAGCAAGAGTTCATTATAAAAACAGAGGAGAAAGAAAAAATCAAAGTGGGTATCAGAAGAGACTCGAAAGATTGTACTGGAGTGTCAAGAAGCCAAATAACCTAAGGAGAACATGTTGAAGTGAAAGAGCTGAACAGGCAATTTCAAAGAACAACTCAGGAGGGAAAAGCAAAGTATTATATTGGAATGTGCAGACAGCTGGAATAGGAGAATAAAAAGGGAAGAACTCTACATTTCTTAAGTTGAGAGAACTGAAAAATTTAAGCATTGTGTCACAATATTGACAGATGCTATTGGCGATATATTGAATGACACAGAAAGTATCAAAAGAAGATGAAAGGAATACACAGAGCCACTTTACCATAAAGAATTGATTGACACTGAAAAAGTTCAGGAAGTACTATATGAACAGAAACCAATGATAATAAAGGAGGAATTAGAGGCTGCATTGAAGAAAAAATAAGGCCCCAGGTATAGATGGGATACCAGTTGGCTTGTTTCAATTAATGGAAGCAGCCTTGGGTGCAATCTCCAGTCTATGCGAGGAAATTTGGAGATTGACTGGCTGGCCAACAGATTGGAAGAGGTCCATATTTGTTCCCATTCCCAAAAAAGGTGATCTAACCGAATATGAAAATAATTGAACAGTATCACAGATATCACATGCAGACAAAATTCTCCTGAAGATCTCTCAAAAACAGCTGTAATGGTACATACATAGGGAACTTCCAGAAGTTCAAACAGGATTTAGTAGAGGCTGTGGCACCAAGGATATCATTGCTGATGTCAGATGGATCCTGGCTGAAAGTAAGGATTACCAGGAGAAAGTCTATTTGTGCTTTATTGACTATGCAAAGGCATTTGACTGTGGGAATCATGACAAGTTATGGCTGACATTGAGAAGAATGGGAATCCCAGAGCACTTGATTATGCTCATGCAGGACCTATATCTGGATCAAGAAGCTGTACGAACAGAGCAGGAGAGCACCGCATGTTTTGGAATTGGAAAGGGGGTGCATCAATGTTGTATTCTCTCTCTATACCTATTCAGTCTATATACTGAGCAAATTATCTGAGAAGCTGGACTCTGAGGAGGAATGTGGCATCAGGCTTGGAGGGAAACTCATCTAAAACCTGTGTTATGCAGATGACACAACCTTGCTTGCTGAAAGTGAGGAGAGCTTGAAGCACTTGTTGCAGAAGATCAAGGAATGGAGGCTTCAGTATTGATTGCATCTCAATGTCAGGAAAACAAAGATTCTTACAATAAGCACCATTGTGATGGATGGAGAGGAGAATGAAACTGTCAACAGATTCATCTTGCATGGATCCACAATTAACACCCTTGGTACCAATAGTCAGGAAATAAGGAGGTGCATTGCAATGGGAAAATCTGCAGTTAAGGATCTCTCCAAATTATTGGAGTAGTGATGTCAGTTTGAGGAATAAGGTGCGTCTGATTCAGGCCATAGTCTTACCGATTACTAGCTATGCATCTGAGACCTGGACAGTAAATAAAGATGACAGGAAAAGAATTGATGCCTTTGAGCTGTGCTGTTGGAGAAGAGCCCTGAACATCCCATCGACAGACAAGAGAACAGACACATATGTCTTAGAGAGGGTGCAGCTGGAATGCTCTTTGGAGGCAAGAATGATGAGG